ATGGTTTTGATCCACAATGTTCAACCATGAGAAAGAACTGGACAGTCAGACTGTTGGAGCCTTCATGTAAGCCATGATAGTGGTCTATATCCTACAAACAGTCAAGGAAACACAGCTCCAGATGGTGGCCAAAACCCTAAAAATAGTAGAAACATCATCTGGAATATATGTCCCACATTACAGAAAATCACAAGTTTTTTTTTAGAAACTGGGACCCCAGACACCCCTAGTGGCTGAAGAAATATATCCTTGGTCAACCCCAGCTGCAAAATATATCCTAAGTCCATCCCAGACCAGAAATATATTTCTACAGTGTGACAGTCACAATTCAGGGTCCAGGCATAAGAAATATATTTGGTGTCCATCTCAGTGAAGAAATATATTTTGGGGTGTGTGACACACTAGAAATATATTTGGTGTGACATTGGACGTCAAAATATATTTATGTAAAAGTGGAAATATACAAGCCCCAGAATATATACAATATAGATATACACCCTGACATTTAGTCCCGTAGTATTCATGGAGTTTGCAAGACTAATAGTCAGTTGTTAGTGGGTGACTGAAGTGGTCACCGGATAAATTTATGCCATACAGGGAACATGCTCCCACCCGGATTCGTTCACGAAATATGGTATACGATGATCCAGAATGGCTCAGGACATCAATCGGCTTTTGGAACATCTTATGCTTCTGTGGAGTTTTCTATGGCTCGCCATTTGCTCGGGATGATGGTCGTCATTTCGAGAGTCTGGATGATTGGAATGCCTTCAAAGAAAACAAAGCAGAAAGCCATTTCGTTGTCAAATCTGCTTATGGGTCTTTGCAAGGTGATCGTGTTCCTGAATACTGGGAAAAGAGACATTTATGGGAACCCCTGATCAATAAGAAGGATCTGAGTCTCACCGAGGTCTATCAGTTCTTGCCTCAGTCTTCAGTTGATGGTGGAAGGTCTGAAAAAAACGAACGAACAAAGGGCAGCAACAAAGCAACTCCAAAGAAGGTGTTTGTCAATATAGGCTCTCTAACAGCCATTCTCATTATAGGAGATCTGGTCTATGCAGGCATATTGCCCATGCCTTCTCCTCTTGAATGGGGTGAATTTATTGGAAAGGTGTCAAAGGGCGCGTTGGATGCTATAACCATGCTTGGGCTAATTGATGAGGACACTACAGTGCCACAGGCATTTGTGGAACTTGACAAGTTTGTCAACCGTGTGTTGACTGCAGAAGAAAAGGCTGCCATGACATATGATGTCTTGACTGGTGAACACGGTCTTTGTAAGTATAAACGGTTATATAGTAGAAAACTATAACTTAGCAGTTATTGCTACTACTTTGATGTATTTCAGTATTGTTACAAATGTTACAAAAGGATATCCATCTACATCTATGAGAAATTAAGGTAACCTAATAAGTCATCATATACAATATAGCCAGAGCTTCCAGCATAATTAGCTGGGTGTAAATCTTGCAATCATATTAGGTATATCATCTGTCTGAAGGGGATGTAGATATCCAATACAATGACACTCAACTTTGCTAAGTTAGTTGAAGCCCAGTATTTTTTTGAGCCAATTTAGAGAAAACACATCAACAATATACGGTAGTTAAGTACCAGTATTTAAAGAGTTCGAGGTAGTTAAATACGATATGTAGGGGGATACGAGGCAAAGTAATTGGAAAGCAAGCACATAATTCTACTCCATAGCCTCCATCATTCGAAACACTGGGTCATCGTGAAAGAGACTGAGAAAAGTAGGGCTACCTGAAATGTGATGTTGAGCAAGGATAAGAATGAAGATAATGATAGACTTGCAAAGTGTTTTCACTAGCAGCGAGCACTGCAACCCAAAGCACGTTCATTGACAAAGATACATCGTTGGGATTCGCCTTGGAGTTATAGGAACCAATAGTATATCCAATGAGGGCTATGGAACCAGTGGGGACTTGACAACCGAATCGGGGAAGGTCTTTTTCAATGGTTCCAAGGCCAGATGGCATCTTGATCTGCTTGGTTCGAGCATCTAGAACGGGGACGGAAAGGCATTGATTGTCAGCAATATCAACCAAAATGATGACATATTTCTTCTTTACCTATATCATGAGGGCTCAGAGATGAATATCGATATTTACGATTTGGTGTATTGTTTGACATGGTAGCTTTGCTGCGGACAGTCGCGAATCCTTTGACAGGAGAAGAGCTTGAATTTGACTCTAGTAGATTGAATAAGTAACACAGACATGAAGACAGGAAATGCTTACCTGCTGAACGTGTCGCAAAGGTCAGGGTGCTATCTGCAAGCTGAACTCTCACTGACTCTTTCTTAAAAGTCATACATAAGACAGCGACCATATGCTCATACTCATAAGCAAGAAGCTTGGCGGTGATGAATTTGACTTCTTTGTCTCCGCGTTGACGAGGTGAAATGCAATGATTCCAAGCGTGACACACAAGGCAGGTGACTTGCAATCCCATATGAACACGAGAGGCCCACCCTTTGTTTGACCGGATGTCTTCTTGGCGATGAGAAGTGACGGATCAATGCGAGAAAGGTTGACAATATTGGATGTATAGTCCTTCTCGAACACAACCAATCCTTTGATGTACCTGTAAATCAGATGCAAATATAAGTCTCTCAGTTAGAGAAAATCCAAAAGAAGACATACTTCAGATTGATATTGGGGTAGACACCTCCAATGCTAGAGAAGAGGATCATCCCATTTCCTTCGTCATCTTCTTGGTCATTGTTATCCTTCCAAGAAATAAATTTCAAGCCACTAGATTTATAAGGTTCAAGTAAGATGTATGAGGACACATTATACTTATTGATAACTTGCCTAGGCAGCTTGGTCAACTTCTTATATGTCTCCTTGAGAAGAGGGTCGACAAGATCAAGAGCGGCAACTCCACATTTAGACAACTTCGGAAAACTTGGTTGCAAATAAGACAAAGTCCAAATAGAAGAATAGAACTAATTGCCAAGGGGAAGGATCACAATCAATGTCTTCTAAATAAACAGTCTTTTTTTCACTGATAATGGGTTAGCATGGGTTGAAAGTAAAAAAAAAAACAATAAAGCACAAACTCGTCATTTGTTTTGTCACCATCGGACATGACCTCATCCTTGTCAAAGACATCTGGAGCAGTTTTCTTTTTCTTCGCCATTTCAATGCTTGCTTTTGTCTTCAACCTGATTAAAATTGAACATGGGCACTGAATAACTTCAAAATATAAGTCAAACTTACACAGAAGTGTCAAAGATCACTTGACGACCTTTATTTCTAAGGTGAAAAGTAAACGAAGTTAAACCTGGTTGCAATCTGACAGAATAAAACCCACTTTTTTCCTGTCGGCGTTGGAGAATCATGACCGGATTCGCTGAACAACATAAGGTTATGAGATTGCCACTGAGAAATAGAATGGAAAATTACCTTGGGTCATCATCAGTCACTGCAGATTCTTGGTCATTATCATTGTTGTTAGAAGCAGTGCTAGAGTGAGG